CGCAGGAGGCGATGGAGTCGTACGTCGTGTCGCTGCTCGCTTCCTCCTTCTCGTGCCGCGTTTTGAGCCGCGCACTCATTCTCGCCCTGCTCCGGCGGGGTTGTGTGGAGGTCAACCCGGGCCCTCCTCGACGGAGTCCGAGGGAGCAACTCGTTCAGTGGATGAACGAGATGCGGCGGGAGCAAGCCCGCCTCGCTCGCCAGATGCAGGAGGCGGAGAGGCGGCTCCTGGCGCTCGACCTGGAGGCTCGCCGGTCGCGGCAACAAGCTCGGGCAGCTTTGCCTCGGACGGCCACCTTGACGAAGGACGGACCTTGGAAGTACGTGCGGGACACCCGCGGGACACAGCGGGGGCTGCTGCGCTCGGCTACGCCTCACCCCCGGCAGCAGGGCGGCGGCTGCCTGTGTCGAAGACGCCGTGGCTCGACGCCGCCCGCACCCGTCCCCCCCCCCCCAGCCCCCGGCGCCAACACGTCGTACCAACAGCCGGCAACCTCCCCCGAGCACGCTGGAGGCCCTTCACCTTCGTGTCGCTGCCCATGCGAAGGCGGGGCAGCAAGTGGTTAGCCGCCACCAACAGGCCACGCGACGCGTATTTCGGTATTTCGGGAGGGGAGAAGGTGGATCAGGGTGATGGGGGCGGATGCTCCCGGATCGACGCATTCCCCAGCGGACCCGACCGCCACCTGCACGCCGGAGGAGGCCTCCTTGCTGCCTCGACAGGCCTCCGCGGCGCGCGAGAGGACTCCCCTTCCGCCACTCGCTTCCTCGCCTCCACTGCCGATGTCCCCTCCCAGCCTGGACATTACCCGGCTGACGGCGGGCATTGCACGCAAGCTCCGGGAGGAATTGCTGGAGCAGATGGTGCGGGAATTTAATACCCGCTTCCTGCAATTGCAGACTGAACTGACGGCCCATTTGGCCACGTTTGACGCCCGTCTGGCCTCACTGCAGGTGGCGCTGCAATACCCACAACGAGGGTGCAGGCGGAGTATGAGCAGGGCCCCCTCTTCGCAGGAAGGTCCTCAGTCGCGCCAGCGCAGTGAGTCCCGCGGTGGCTCCCCGGCACCGACTCGCCCTGGCGGCGCGGGTGCCCAGGGAAGACGGTGTCTTTGACACCTCTTCTGACAGAAACAGTGGTCGCAGCTCCACGCTGTCCCGTTCCTCGATTGCCCCGCTACCGCGACAGAGACCGCCTCAGCTGGGCACTTGGAATATGAGGGCTTTGGACGGCGTGGCAGTGGACTCTATCACCAGATATGGCCCGGACGTTTTGTGCGTGCAGGAGGTGTCGCGTCTGCGTCCGGAGGTGTGCACATCTCTCCAACGTGCGGGCTGGGATGTTCATGATAAACCCTGCCCGGCAGTCAACGGGGATCGTCGCGGTTTAGCCATCCTCGTGCGCAGGGACGCGTACACAAGCACGGTGGTCCCTCTTTCGATACCCCCCTCTGGCCAACCGCCCTTCCCGCACCACCGCCGACGCGGAGTGGCTGGTGGTGCGGGTGCAGAGTTCGACGGCCGCGGGGACAGCATTCACTGTGGCGAGTTTCTACACTCCTCCTCGCAGGACGGAAGAGGCTCGGGACCACATGTTTGCTGTCCTGGATCACCTAGCGGCCCACAACGTAGACGTCATTGCGGGCGACTTCAACGCCCGACACGGCAATTGGTGTCCGGCCATCGCCGCCCTGCAGCGTCACGCGGCCCATATTCTGAGCGTGCAGGGTGAGCACATACTGGATTGGTGTGCGGCGAAGGGCTACCTTCTCTCCAATACGGACATGCCGCCGACACCCACCACCATTCACGGCACGGCCCTGGATCTCATTCTGCTTGCGTCTCACCTCCGCCCCACTGCCCACATGGTAATGGAGGAGGTTTCGCGGAAGGATCACCGGATGATAGTCCTTACTGTCCCCAGCAGCACGGAGCGCCTCCTGCCGCGGCGTACGTCCTCCATTTGCTGGCCCAGGGTCCAGCCGGCTCATCTTCGCTCGGCCTGTGCCCGCATTGCGGAGGGCCCGGCGGACGCAGTTTCCTTGGAACAGACCCTCATCCACTCCCTTCGCGCGTTGCCTTTGGCGCCGGCACGACCGCGGCCGTGTCCCAAGGGCATCAAAGGGACTCGACGATATAAGGATATTTGGTGACACTACAAAGAGGCTTTCGCTGCCCCACCCTCGCCCAACACGGCGATTCGGGATGGCGCGCGTGAGGTCTCGACGGCGCGCCAGAAGGCGGCGCTGTTCAACACTGTCTTCGCCGTGAAGCATGCCTTGTCGGGTGCTCCGTCGGGACAGCAGCCGACATTGGGCCCGCACAGCGTTCCGGCGGTCACGACATGGGAAGGTGCGCCTGGCCTTGCGCCGCCTCCGGCCGCAATCGGCGCCTGATAATGACGGCATTTCTCCCCGCCTCCTCCAAAGGACGAGTGAGGTCCTTGCGCCGCGGCTGGCGAAGGCCTACACGGCCATCCTCCGGGATCCCGCCTCCACCCCGGTGTCGTGGAAGCGCTGCACCTTCATTCCGCTTCTCAAGCCTGGGAAAGCGCCGGAGTTGGCGACGAGTTACCGCCCGGTCTGCATCACCTCCCTGCTCTCCCGGGTCTGTGAACGCGTGGTCCTTGACCGTGTTCTCATGGCCACGCACGGCCAACTGGATGGCGCCCAGTATGGCTTTACTCCGTCCCGCACGACGATGGACGCCCTCATGCGGATCCTGGCCCCGGTGCGTCATGGTTTGGACACCAGCGCCACTCGGCGTAACGTCACCACCTCGGGGCCCCCGAGCGCGAGCCGTCGGGTACGCCAGGGGAGCATACTGGGTCTCCTGGTATTCTCGGATGCCTTCTGCAAGGCCTCCCACGGCCACATCATGGACCGGCTGCGAGCTCTGGGCGTCCCGACGTATCTGCAGCGGTTCATCCTTGCATGGCTGACTGACAGGCGCGGGCGCACCTTTTTCTCTGGGACGCTACTCGGCCCGGGCGCCGCTGCCGTGTGGCGTGCCCCAAGGCTCCGTACTGGGACCGTGGCTGTTTGCGGCCTTTCTCGATGGCCTCCTGTGCAGCTTTCATCAACAGCACATCTCGAGGGCAACAATTGCCGCTCCGGTCCGGCACCTTCCGGCGACGTATCACACTATCACGGCGGATATTGTGGCCTACGCGGATGATGTGACCCTCCGTGTTACCGGGCCGGACCTCAAACAGCTAGAGGAGGCAATGCAGCTCCTGTGCGACGCTGTCTCGGCGTGGATGGCTACAACAGGTCTTCCACTTTCTGACAAGACTTCCTTCCTGGTGATGCGGCACGGGGGGTCTCACAAGACCGCCATCCCGGCGTTCTTTACTATTAACGGACGGCAGTACCCTTGCGGCAACCATCCACACAAGATTCTGGGGGTCACGGTTGATCCTCCCCTCAACTTTGAGGAGGACGCTCGGTGCCGCGAGGCAAAGGTGCGGCAACTTTTGCCGCGCCTCAAGCCGCTCTGCGGGCGCCAGCACCCAACACGCGTTCGCCCGTATGCATGGGCAATAGGGCAGGTCCTCCTATACGGGTGCGAGGCCCGCACGCTCTCCTGCGCCGCCTCTGTGATGTTGCAATTGTCGAGCAGCTGGACCTCGGTCGTCAAGGCGGTGATGGGACTGCCTAGCAATGCGGGGAACGCCGACGCTCACCTCGACAACGCCTTCCTCTCGCTGGAGGCGTGTGCGCGGAGACGCATTATGAAGGCGGCGGCAGTTCGCGCCTCCCTGCCACGGTCGGCGGAGGACCCCGTACTGCGGGCCCCCCTCCCCCCTGCACCCCGTGCCGAACCTTCGCCCGCTGCAGTTTCAACGCGCTCCTCTGCCGGGGCGGATCGACCGGGTGGAGTTTTATCTCCCGCCTGTTCGCACGCCTCCGTCGGATGCGACGGAACGGTTGCGACTCATTGCGGGGCGACGAGCCCACTGCCATGCGCACCTGTCCCGGTACGACACAGTCATTGAAGGCTGGTCCGACGGCAGCGTCTCAGAGGACGGGAACGGTGGGGCGGTCGTTCTCTTCTGCCACGGCATTCAGCACCTGAGTGCCCCCCAACCCGTGCTCGTCCGACACACGCCCACGTCGATGGAAGCGTGCTCTTACACCGCGGAGATAGATGCAGGCATTGTCCTGCTGCAGGCGTCCTTGCAGTACCTCCGAGAGCATGCCGAGCACGACACGCGGCGGCCCAAGACGGCTGTTCTGCTGTGCACGGACAGCTTATCCTGTCCCCAGCATCTCGCCAGCGGTCCTGCCCCTGTGTGATGTTTTCGCGTTGAGGATGTGGTCTCTCCTTGCGGACATTACGCGTCTCGCGGCGAGGGTAATGCTGGCGCACATGTTTGCCCACTGTGAGGGCCCCCGCGGTGACATCGTGGATCGTGAGGCGCAAGTGGCGACGAAGCAGCCGCAAGGCAAACTCCCCTCTTGGCACGTGGATCACGTCCGCCGCCACCTGCAGAAGGTACGGGAGCAGGACCTGGCCTCGCTCATCGCGGCCCGACGCGACCACGCAGCCCGCTGTACTGCCGACTTCATGGCCGTCTTCCCTCTGTCGAGACACCATACGGATTAGGAGTGGACGATGGTGGCGATTGGGCCCCGCGGCGATACTTCACTTGCGGAGCGGGGTGATGTGGCAGTGCCCTCACTGCGGCTCCCAAGAAACGGCGGAGCACTGCGGCGCCGCCCTACAAATGTTTCGATGCTCCTGCAACCCTCTTCCGGCGGACACTGCGGTGGCCGACCTCTGGGGCAACTCGCGGAAGGGGCTCGAAACACTTATAGAACACTGCCGCTTCTTTCTGCGGAGTCGCACGGAGGATAGAGCCGGCAGTGCGTAATAATACTACTAATAATACCCCTACCGCCAACATTAATCATAATATTAAACATAATCATTACAAAATCAACAGAAACTAAAAAAACGAGAAGAATAAAATAAAAATAAAAAATAAAAATAAAAAATAAAAAATAAAAAAAAATAAAAAAATAAATAAATAAATAAAATAAAATAAAAAAACAAATAAATAAATAAATAAATAAAAACAATAAAATAAAATAAAAACAACCCTTACTACCCT